GCCCTGCAAAAGCCACAGTGTTGGCACTGCCTCGATGGCCCTGCACCATCTGTCCCTCCCTCCATCTCCTGCCCTCACCTCCCACCCTTTCCCCCTTCCCCCTCTGCCTCCACCACACTGGCCTCCTTGCTACTCCTGAACATGCCAGGCACGCTCCTACCTCAGGGCCTTTGCACTTGCTGTTCCCTCTGCCTAGAACGCTCTCCCACTAGAGCCCCACATGGCTCCCTCCCTCCTCTCCTTCAGGTCTTTGCTCATCTGTCACCTTCTCAGTGAGACCTTTCTTTGCCTCCCCATTTAAAATCTCAATCCCCAATACCCCCAACCCTCCTCCCCTCTCTGTTTCGCTGGTGCGCTCACCGCCATGTGTGTTAATTATTTATTTCGTTTCCTGATTCTCCCCCCTGCCACCGTGACCCTCTAGGAGAGCAGGAGTTTGTGTCTGTTTTGTTCCCTGCCAAAGCTGTAAGAGTCTAGAACCGGGCCTGGCATACAGCGAGGGCTCATTTATTGCTAAATGAACGAATAGATTAAGGGGTGACAGGCTGAGCCCACATTCCGGAGCAGGGGCTGGGGTGGTGGCGGAGAAGGGCGCCGCTGCCCTGAGGGACTCGGTGAGATTCCAGGTGGGCGCCGAGGCCGGAGGTTGGCAGCGGGTTCCGAGAGACTGGGCTGCCTGAACGGGGAAGGGGTCCGGCAGCTGCGCTGCCCTGCCAGGACTGTCACCCAGGGCCCTCCCTGCCCCGTGCCCCGGCCCCTGGTGGTGGGGGGCCTGCCTTGTCCCCAGGGGAAGGGACTCCGAGGGTGATTGTGGGGCAGGGTGGGTGGGGCGTTGAGGACAATCGGGAGCCCAGCCAGACAGGTGCCTGTGAGGCAGGCCTGAGACCACCCTCCTCACCCCCAAATATCCAGATGCGGGGGACTCTGGCACGGCAGGAGGCAGGAGCCTGCCTTTCCCAGACGCGTGGCCCAGGCCAGGTTGCCCGAGCGAACAGGCCGCAGGCAGCCGTGCACTCGGTGCTGAGTGAGAGATGGGCCCGTTGCCGTCTCCTGTCCCCCTGCCGGGACACCCGCCCCGTGCGATGCCCAGTCTTTGGCCAAGTCCGCCTCCTCAGCCCCGCAGCCCCTGATGGCCTTGTCCTGCTGGCCTCGGAAGTGTCTTTTCTGTCATCGGTGCGAGGCCCCCAGGGGCGGGCAGAGGCCTTGTCTTGGGCTGGCCTGGCCGGGCTCCTTCAGGGCTTGGCACCAGCTGGCAGTAGGGGGCAGGGTCTGGGTTTAGCAGGTCCTGGGAGGGGGGAGGGAAGGAGAGGGAGCGATTATGACGGGGAGCGGGCGAGCTGCCGGGGAGACAGAGAGGGACAGAGGGTGAGAGACACGGAGACGCGGAGAGAAACCCACAGAGAGAGGAGGGAAGCCTGGCATAGAAGGGAGTGAGACGCAGAGACAGGAGGTCCTGGAAGAGCCAGAGAACGAGGCGGACACAGAGTGACAGAGACAAAGAGGCGGGAGAGACAGAGACAGAGATATGGACGAGGAGAGAGACTGAGAGAGACAGAGACTACAAGACAGGGGCAGAGATACACACAGAGATGTGTAGACAGAGGCACTGGGAGGGAGACAGAGGCACAGGGGCCAGACAGGAGGGGATGGAGAGGAACTGAGGCCCAGGCCCAGGAACAGGCCCCTGCCAGGGGGTTCGACTGGGCCCTGACTGGCTGTGTGACCCCGGGCAATCCCCCGACCCTCTCTGGGCATTGTTCCTCTTGTGCAAATTCAAGGGTCCCTTTTACAAAGAAGGAAATTGCAGCCCCAGGAGGGGAAGGGACTTGCCCGGGTCTCTCGGCAGGGCTGTAATGGGCTTCCCCCAGGAGCTGAGACTTTGAGACTTTGGGGTGAGAAGTGAGGAGAACCCCATGCTCCCCCCACCCCCCATCTCGACCCCTCCCATCCAGGCTGTGGTGCTCCTGGCTCCAGGGGACCCCTTCCCCACTCCCCAACCCCGCCACCTCCACACCTGGTACTGGTGGTTCTCCGGCCCCGGCTGCAGGGGTGCAGGTGCGTGCAGGGGTGCAGGCGTGTGCAGGGGTGCAGGCATGTGCAGGGGTGCAGGCGTGTGCAGGGGTGCAGGCGTGTGCAGGGCCTACGAGGGAAGAACGCAGGTGAGCCGGGCCCTTGGCTCCCTCCCGCATCCCCCCTTCAACCTTTGACCTTTGGTGCTATCAACAGTCCTGGATCCGAAGTCCCCAGTCGCCCCTCCAGGACCATGAGGGCCCCCCACTCCCTGCATCTCAGCGTCCCCCTTAGGTGGGCCCAGGGCACGTGGCCCATCAGTCACCCCATTAACAGTCAGCCTCCCCCGTTCACACCTCTGGTTCTAAGCTCTTAGCCTGAGCGTTTTAAGTTTCTCTTTTTATTTAATTCAAATAACTTCTTTTTATCAGTCCTTCCTCCCTCCCACCCCATCCCCACTACAAATAGAATTATCTGCTCAGTGTAGAAAATACAGA